AAGAGGCTTGAATGAGATCCAGCTTTTGTGGTGTTTGCCTTCCAACAAATGTTCACACATGAGGACAGTGGGAACGCTATGCAATCGTGGAGGTAGGCTAGTGTTATGGGTCCACTGCCTTAACATAGACCACCGTGCCATGATTAATATGAAGGGCCTCTGTTTTATCTTCTCCACATCAGTAATGTTTATATATTATTAATCGTACAATTATAAATTACAATTACAATAGCAGAGTTGGAAGGGACCTTGGAGGTCTTCTAGTCCTACCCCCTGCCTAGGCAGGAAACCCCATACCGTTTCAGACAAATGGCTATCCAACATCTTCTTAAAGACTTCCAGTGTTGGGGCATTTTTCTTCACTCATCTGTTTTTTTCAAATTGTGGGAAAAAGAAGGAAGTTATTTGAAAGCTTACATTTACCATTTGATAATTCCTCCTATTTTTAGAGAAACCATAGCTACTGTTTTAAAATATTACCAAGTGGCTGTGACTATAAAATATGGGTGACAAGATCCTTGACATGTGAACTGTGATTCCTTTTCCCAACTTTCAAGTATATATTATTAGTATTATAAAATTAAATGTAAACCATCTTGCCTGCAAAATGCTGAGCTTGTGAATTTACTTGCTGAGCTTGTGAATATTAATGCAATTTTCCAGAGGCAAAATTATATGAGAATATTTTAAAGGATTTTAAGAAAACATTTGTATGAAAACAAGGCTGGAATGCTGAAAAAATCCTTTTACCTCATTGTCAGCCAATTGATTATTAACAGTCAACAACCACGTAGATAGATTTTCCCCAGGCGGATCTCTCTTGAACTTGGTCCTTCAGGTCTTCTATGTAGTGTATCCATTGAGTCCCTCCACCTTGCAGATAATCTTTTTTCTTCTTTCCTTCCACTTTGCCCAGCATTACAGACTTTTCCAAAGTATAGATTTGCTTAATGTGTGCAAAATATAATAATTTGATCCTGGTCATTGTGTCTCAAGTGGGGAAACTCTGAGTTGATGTGTTCTATAATTCATTTGTTTATTTTCTTGGTTACCCGTTCTGACCCCCCTCGTCCCACACCAACACACTTCGAGCCAAAGATACTTTATGGAATTTATTAACAGACAGACCGGTTCTTGGCAGCAAACCGGCATGGATAAACCTGGGCAGCAATCCAGCCTGCCAAGCTCACCATACAATTCTCCCACATTAGTTCCTGCGTTGACTTCTGCAGGAGGGGAGTGTGTACAAGCAGTCCTTTTTATAGTCTGGAGAGGAGCCTAATTACCAACAGCTGAGTGCAATTACCTCCTGTAACTGTGCGACTGTTCCTTACGCCTATTAGCTCTTTGGTGCCGGGCATCCGGGAACAACTCACTGCTGACGTCCGGATTGCACTCCCTTGTCTCCTCCTCACTGGTCCATGGCTCAGGCGCCTACTGGTGGCCAACCAGCCTCTCTGCGCCCTGCTTGGAGTCAGAACCCTGCCCAGGGTCCTCCACATCCTCCAGAGCCGACTCGTAGGGCCCCCTTGCTGTCGGAGTCTGGTGGCGACTCCAACAGCTTCTGCTGGGCCACAACACTTATCTATAGTATATTCCTCCAACACCTAAGTTCAAATGTGTTCAATATTTTCCTTGTTTCTAGAGTGTTACAAGGAAAACTATTGCCTGCATGGTAATGGCCTCCTTCCCATTCTGTTATTCTATGTTATATTATCCGATTGTTCTAAGTATTTACATAACCAGGCATCTGAATACTTTTTCCAAGGCTTTACTTAATTAAGAGCTAGTCTGCATCACATTTCTTGAAGAGAGTTTTCTCTTAATAGTTGATCCTAAAATGCAGGCGCTATTTATCACTTCAGTGTCTTCATTTTCAAGTCTAAGGATGGTTGCTATCATATTTTATTTGTTAAATTTATTTGCCACCTATCTTACCATGGGGCTACTGCCATTTACCTCCCAACGACCAATAAGATCGCACAGGTTGGGCCTCCTCCGGGTGCTGTCGACCGGACAATGCCGGTGGGCGGCTCCCCGAGGGAGGGCCTTCTCTGTAGCTGCACCGGCCTTATGGAGCGAGCTACCCCCAGAGATCCGGACCCTCACCACTCTCCCGGCCAAGACCTGGCTGTTCCGGCAGGCCTGGGGCTGTTGACTTTTCCAGCCCCATTTGATGAAATGGATGTTGTGTTGATTTTAATTCTGTAATTTTAAATGTTTTTAAATGCTTTTATTTGTTGTGAGCCGCCCAGAGTCCCTAGGGAGTGGGCGGCATACAAGTTCTATTAAAGTTTCAAAGTTTAA